TTCGCAGTGGATATCGCAGCAAAGTAGCAGAGCGTAGTTCTTCCGTCTGTCATGTTCGCCGGACAAGTTGCCTCTGGTCATCCAGGTCGGAAAAACAAAGATGGACGCCTTTATACACGACGGATCCAGTGTTCTGCGGCTCCTTTTTTATGATGCTAATATACGTATCCAGTGAGCCAGTATATATTTTTTTCTCATTCCTTTACTGGTCATGTCTGATATTCTTTCAAAGTTTTTGAAACATTTTAACCCAAGATTCCTTTTTTTCACGTTTCCAAGATGTCTCTCAACTGAACGATTAATAGTAATAACTCCTCATTTAAAAGGCTAAAACGAAAATTGCGGACATTTGGAATCCTTTCTCAACGTAGTTTATCCATTTATATTCTATAAAGCTTTCCTCCCAAAACAATTAAGTACACTTGACGCTTCGTTACGTATTAACGATTTTTTGCAAGATTTTTTATATATTGTTTTATTTTCTGCATACGTTTTGAAGCCATAAGCGGGGACATTTTTCGCGATGCAGTAGAGAGTTGATAATAAAATAAAAATAAAAGAATATATCTCTTTTTAACCGTATTCAATCGAGTTCCTGTCTTTTGCGGGAACATCGTCTGCCGTGGCTAGAGAAAGATAAAAAAAAAAAAAAGAAACGTTGATACGCATAATTTGGGTAATAACAAAGAACGCCGATAGATTAACGTATATTACAGGGAGATCAGATGAATCCTTCTGGCAACAGATTGCAAGATGAAATTAATAGTCGTTTTGTCTGTTGTGCGTACTTCTTCAAAAGCAAGAATTATTGAATCTGTCTGCGACGGTCTAATGTCGGCGGGGCTAATTTAATCAAGAGAAAAAAAATTGCCCGGTAATCTGTGTCTGTTCTGTGTTTGTCGATATCAGTATCAGTTGGTTAAGAAAATAAGTTCTAATATTATATGCTGCTGAATCCCATGCTATAAACAACCGAAGAAAAAAAGAAAAGAAAAAAAAATAGCCTGTCGAAAAAAAAAGTAACCAATGACTGGCGACGGCATTTGAAACAAGAGATAAACTTCTACTCCTGTTCAAAAGATGGGGGAGGAGTGTGAACTGGATGATAGTCAAACCTAACCACACCTATTGAGAGAGGAGAAATAATAATTAATGAATAAAATGTCAGTCGGAGACGTCAGGAGTACAGAGTTAAAGGAACCAGAAAACCCAATCGTAAACAGGAAACAAGGGATGAATTTCTACTCTTTTCAAAAGACCGGAGAGATGTGTGCACTGGACGATAGTCAAGCTGACCAATTCCTTTTTGAAGAGTAAAAAAAATGAATAAAGTGTCAGGCTTCAGGCGGAGACGACGTCTGGAGTACAGAGTTAAAGGAACCGGAAACCCAATCGTAAACAGGTCACTAGGGATGTACCTCTAAAAGTCCGTGAAGATGTTTGAGCTGGACGATAGGCGAAGCAGATTCTCTTTTATCCTTTTTTTCAACAGTGCTGGTTTGAGTCGGATTTCCTGGAATGAGGAGCTATCATTATTTACGTTACATCCCTTCTGTTCCTGTTATCACACCATTTCGGCCGTTGTGTCCCCCGGCCTTCTTCAGGTGTCTGTCAGTCCGAGTCACCTTCAGACGGTCAATCGAGAAGAATCTACACTTGTTAATTAAACAAATGCTCATTTAAATAAAATCCTGGAAATTTACCAGGATTGAGAGGTACCTGAAGAAGTCTTGAGATGACAAAGACCGAAACGTTCTGATAATAAAAATAAAGATATAAAAATATGGTTTTATGTAGGTGATGCTTGTTTATTGATATTTCCATCCATTTTCGGTCATTTAATACCGGATTTTATCGATTTTATATTGTTTTTCATTATTTAAGATAAGACTAAATCTTTAGATTTATATAAATAAATAATTAATTTCAACCTTTCTATATTGATGACAATAAAATAAAATAGTTCAAGACATTTATACATACAGTACTGTTCGATAAAAGTGGCTCACCTGATTTTTTTTACTTAAAAATTTTTTCGCCTATTGTTTTTGGGGTCAAACTGATTTTTAATCTTACTAATATAAAGACTCCTTCCCGATCACCTAGTAAAAAAGTTTACTCACCCTAAGGTATTCTATTGATAATTATAATTTTGGATATAAATGAGATTTAGGGAAAAACTCTGTGCAAAAAAAGTGACTCATTTATTTCCTGCAACTAGTAATCAATAGAAACATAACCGAACAGCTTTAAATAAAGAATAATAGAGGTATAATGTATTTATAGTAAGTAATATAGTTGGAAATATTTAATAATCTATGGGTCCTCCTTTATTTTGAATAACCTTTTCAACCCTTTTTGGCAAATGACTTGATTAGGTTCTGGCAAATCTCATTTCCAAGCATTGAATTCCATTCGGATATGAAATTCACAATCAAATCCTCTTTGTTGCTCAACTGCTTTCTCGAGAGCCTGTACTTTATAATTCTCCATAAGTTTTCTATGGGGTTGAGGTCAGGAGATTGGGGCGGCCATGTCATAACACTCACCTACTTCTCATCAAAGTATTCGATCATCAATTTTGATTTGTGACAGGGAACATTATCTTGCATAAAAATGAGCTTGGTGGGGTCGATTTGCACCCTCTCACCAGAAGGGAGCAGACAAGACTCTAAAATTCTCTTGTACTGCTCGCTCCTGAGGGTCTTTTCAATAGGTTTTACGAAACCGGTTCCATGAAAAGAAAAGCAACCCCAGAACATTATACTGAACGGATGCTTGAGAGAATTCAAAGAGATTTCAAAGCTTCTTTGGATTTTAGATCGCTCATCCTTTGAATTTAGCTCAATTTTCGTTTCATCGGAAAAGAGAACATTTAGTAAAAAAAATCAGGTGAGTCACTTTTATCGAAGGGCACTGTATGTATATCTTGCTTAAAAGCCGGTCGCCATTTAAGCCAGCTTCCGCGGAGGGCTCTTGATTTGGTCTTCACCACAATAGGTAGACACGAAACGCAACAATAGACGACAGAAGAAGTCAAAATTAATCACTACCTTTAAATATTGTATTAATATTTAAGCTGACCTTTTAAAAGTTCAACGATTAATTCATCTGCCTCCACTTAATTTTAAAGCAGTTTAATGTGCATGGATCATTACTTGTCATACAAACATTTATTTTTATTTCATGGGTGACCATCACTGGATCTCGCAATTAATTTCGATTATTCTTAAATTTATTTCCAAGTTATAAAAATTTTTATCGTACAAAAAATTTCGTCGCAAAAAAATTATATTAAAAAATCGCCGGAAACGATCACAGTAATGAAAAATATCTTAAATTTCAAAATGGCTGCTCCGGACCCCGCCCAGAACAATTTTAATTTCCTCACGGATTCGACCTGATACAAAAATAGTATGATGTTTGGCTACGGTTTCTAGGTGTAAAGTTCAAAACACGGACAATTTTATTTTGAAATAATGTGATTTGAGAACAGTTAATTTTCATTTGAACATGAGTTATTGAAAGTTAGAGAGTCCCTTTAATTGTTTCTATCAGTAGAATCTAAGATGGCGGAATCTGAAAACAATCGCAGTAATGAAAACTTGGGAATCCAAAATTTCAGAACTGAGAGTCTGGATCCGGCCCAGAATGTTTTTATTTTGCTGATTCCAAAATGGTATGATATGTTGGGATCGGTTCTAGGAGTAAAGTTGAAAAAGTGTGACACACTACTTTCGCGTTTATTCTGGAGATGAAGATGAAGAGACAAAGTGGGAAAATGGCGCGTGTCGCAGAGGCTGTATGCTCTCTCTGGCTTCCTCAGTTTAGAATGGTAGAAAGCGGAAACTATATATGAAGAAAAATGTGTTGGGATTTCTGAGGATAAGAGGGGACCATAAATCAAATTAAATTACCTTATCGCATCCAATGTCCAGACCCGGAAGAGTGGCTGTCTGACTGTTTGTTTGTTTCACACACACACACACACACACACACACACACACACACACACACACACACATATATATATATATATATATATATATATATATATATATATATATATATATATATATATATATGTGTAAGGTTCTTGACAATATCCAAGAGACGGATATGCAATATGACTAGTCCTGATCTGGCATCTCGTCTACAGTGGCTCCTCCACAGACGTGCCGTCGCCCCCCTCTGTCTTTTCTACAAATACTTTCACGGTAACTGCTCCGACGAGCTACTGTCGCTAGTTCCCAGACTGCTCGAATTTAAGCGTGCTACTAGGCTGGCATCACGGTCCCACACTTTCACTGACGAAACGCTTAAATGTGGCCGTCTCTTCTACTCCAATAGCTTCATGTCTCGCACCTCCCGTCTGTGGAATTCCCTATATATATATATATATATATATATATAACTAAAAATATATAGAGAAAATAGAAAACCGGAAGTTACGATATAAGGGAACCATCAACGAGCCCCGGTGACGAAGAGGGTGATAGATAGATAGATAGATAGATAGATATGAAATGAAGCATATAGACAGTGATAGATAGATATGAACAAACTTAGATAGATAGATAGATAGATAGATAGATAGATAGATATTAAGAAATGGACAAAGTCCGACAATTTATTTATTAAAGACATTTTTTT